AKAGGACTKAGAATAGCGGGTCTAAATAATGGTAATTATTTTAAACAGTGACGAAGAGCGTCTTCCTGTTGATTGCTGATGCTCATTTTTCACTTTAGTGAAAGTGAAATTAAAATTCTTTGTTTTTGATTCTTGTGAGTTGCYAACAAAGCCAAGTTCTAAATATAAGTATAGTATATATCTTTCTTAAAGGAAAATCAAACTCAAGCTGTCAAAATTAGACATTTTTCCATTTGCATCAAATACCCAATTAATCATCGCAWATACCTTTTAAGGAGTAAGAATAGCTGTTATACTATTTCCCTACCTTTCTTTCAAAGCTTTCACAACATCGCTCAGTGCCTTTAAGTCTTGGTTTGTCTTGTTTAAGGTGCCTCGTTTCACTACACCGTTGTGCTCGACATCTCTACCGTCAACACCCCAAAACATGGCGATTATCACCACGATAAAGATGGCTTTGAACAGCATTTTATCGCTAGAATTTTTTTCTTTCAACTGTTTCAACAATTCTTCTCAACAATCGCACGCGTCGTCTAGGTTGAAGAAAAAGTCAGAGTGAGGATATCGGATTCAGTATTGTCAATATATGACCACATGGAGTGTACGAAAACAAGAAACGTTCAGTACTTGTGACTCATTCATCAATTACCAATTGAAGATCTAAGTTTATAATATTCATAAATGATCTATAAGTTACACAGCCACTCAGTGACCGCCACTGTTGTCACATGGCTACACTTGTAATCACCAATACCAACTTAAAGCGCGGGAAGGGCTTGAATTCAGAGCATGGGAAAGGGTGGGGTTGATGAAAAATAACTAGAGAAATATAGCAATATAGAAATATAGAAATATAGCAGAAATATAGAATATCCTAATAGATCTATTAGAATGATTACAATCACATATAGAGATTTCTCCAAAGTTTTTAAGATCTAAATTTAACGATTTGCATTACATCTCTGTAGAAATAGAAAATGATTTTGCACGACCGATTCGGGAACTTAGATTTTTAAAAAGTGCTTATATAACAAAAAATGTCAATAATTTTGAATATTTCTAAAAACCATTCCCACAGACAGAATTCGATTGTTTAAAACTTCACTATTTTACAGATTTTCAAAGATTTTCATTCAACCATTATGGACGTGTCCTTTAGGCCTGTGACAATTTTCGGAAATGACGGCAAGAGAGGTAAAACCGGAAGTGAACAKTTCGTTGCAATCCAAGTGAGAAATTGACGATTCAATAACGATATACATAATCTTCAAAATAACGTTAAAATGAGGAGTAGAGGGGTGGTAGCATACTAAACCACTGATAAAAGGCCTGTGATCCCTGTGGTTATACTAGAGAGCATTTTGATGTCACGAAACTGTAACTATTTTATACTTAAGAAATATTAAACGGCGCGCGTGTCTCTGTCCTCTGATATAAACATAGCCTGCTTACAGGCTAATATAAACACGGTGGGAGTTCGAAAAACACGAGAGAAGCAAGCTTAGGAACACGAGCGTAGCGAGTGTTTCTCTTGCTTCTCGAGTGTTTTTCAACTCCCACCGTGTTTATATCAGAGGACAGAGACACAAGCGGCTGTTTTATACTTCTTTTATAAAATTTTTCGAGCGAAAAGAAAATTTTGCCGGTAAGCCTTGTCTCTGTCCTCTGATATAAACACGGTCGTCAGCCAATCAGAGCGCGCGTTATATATCAAAAATTTTATAAATGTGAATGCAGTATACTCAGCTGTCATTAGACCATTTTATAAAACCTTTTTGCAATGGAAAACCTATACAACCACTATACAAAAGACAATAATAAAAAACACCTAGATATAGGATATCATTTTGAATCACATTTATTTTCTATTCACTTTACTACATATTTTTATTTTAATGATTATTTAAAGATTATTATTAGTAAAGCGACCGTAACACTTGATCCTTTTTGTGCATTCTCCAGTTTTACTTGGTACACACTACGCATGTCAGTTCCCGTCCTTCCACGTAAGGAAGACAAGGCAGAGAGCCACATTTTCCTTCCACGGTGTACAACAATGCACCATTCTTGTCAGCAAGCGATCCTTTGATGACTTCTGGATCTTTGTCGACGCAAATGAAATTTCTCTGATTAGGGTGATTATAGTACTCCGTCATAAGGTATCCCCAGTACTCTTTGGACCATCCCGCGGGACACTCGTATGTTGCCGGGATCATCAGTTTGGCATTGCGGGTTGGAACAAAGCATACAGCACAAGGGACGTCGTGGTCGTGAGGATTGTGTGGAAATGGATTGTAGCTTTGTTTAGTTTGGTACTCAGCACCGTACATGAAACCCGATGATTGATGTGCATCGTTGTAGCTCGCGTACTTGGGGGATTCTGTCAGGCATACATAATTGGAACCTCCTCCAGGATGGGCGTGGTCCTCACCACCAACACGACCTACAAAACAAAAATAATTGCCTTCCTTGAATAGGACTGTAAGCTAGGGACTTTYATAGAGGGAGGATTGCTGATATGGACAAAATTGACGTTGCGTGACGACACAGGGCCGGGGCGATGACCGGGGCGATTGATCTTCTAGACTGGAATTGATGGTTTTCAAATAATTGCTCAAGTTTGTGCAAAATAACATGCCAAAAGACTAAAAAAAATGCTAAAAATGCTAAAAATTGCTAAAATGTACTTTGCAATCTCAGTCTCGTACGATATGTGTTTCTGGAACTTTTGCTGAATCTAATTGCCCGTCCCTTAGTGATGCGTAAGATTGCTTGTGAATAACAATTTACATTACAATTAGGATATGATTTGAATAAAAAACGAAATCTTCGGATTATGCAATAGACCCCTTGCATGTGACGTCAAAGCAGCTTCATCTGGAGGACAAAACAAAAGATTTTTATCCTCTTGGGAACTAGAATCTATTGTTTTGTCCTCCAGTTGGAGCCGCATTCCCATGAACTGCAAGGGGTCTATACCAGTTGCTGTTCTGTTTTCTTCTTATTTCCTTCTCCTTTCTCTCTTTCCCATTCATCCAAACTTTCATTTGTCCGGTCAGTTAGTCAATTAGACGCTATTAAGTCATTCGGACAGTCAGTTCTGCATATAATATATAATTTTCAGTTACCTTTGTASACGAGATTAGCACCAAAAGGACACGAGGTCCTTCCCCAACGTATGTACTGAACACCACCACTTTTAGGACCTGGAGGACCCCTTAGTCCCTGAGTACCACGTGGGCCTTGCAAACCAGGACTTCCTAAACACAATAATATAGGTTGATAATACGCCAGGAAAATATTATCAATGGCTACTAATCTACGAAATGGTATCAACTATACCTCGTGTTCCTGGTGTGCCATGTTGGCCATCACGACCATCTCTTCCTAAAATTGTTGGACATAGTTGAAGTTAATGAGTTAATCAAGTTCAAAGACAAATAGTAGTAATTAACATTACCTCTTGGACCTGGTGAGCCTGGTAAACCGACGCCATCTTTTCCTGGTGCGCCATCTTTTCCTTGTGAACCATCACGGCCATCTTTTCCTTAAGTTGGTAGTGCACACAATAAAACAGTTCAGTAATGAAGAAAACCCAGAAACATTTGTGGAAGTCAATCAATCAACTGTTCTCGAATTTTACCGACGCAAAATTTCTCTTCATTGTAAAAAAATGGACATAATTAAGCATCCAGGCAATTAATTATAATAATTATACGGCACTTGCCTGGTTTTCCTGGTGATCCTGCTGCTCCTGGCGTCCCATCTTTACACCAGCCTTAATAAAAGCAGAAATTAGATGCTTGTAAAAATATGTTATTTTAATATATTTTTAGTGAATAGCTTTATCATTTGTGTTCTATACCCACAGACAATTATTAGAAAGTGACAGGGATTCCTCAAATTCAAACGAGTTTCGAAGAAGACTCGTTTTACTTACATCAAATAAGAGGGTCTCAATGGGGTGGTACGCATCACGACTCACGGCTAAAAATTTGGCTATTTCACGACTCACGACTAATTTTTTCGAATCACGGTTAACTAGATTACTTTCAGAAATTTTTGAAATGAAAACAACGTTTTTCATCACTTTTTCATGTAATTTGTTTTGTGCTAGAGATACAGTGAGTGTGGGACCACAGTGTCCCTTGAACGTTACAGACACTCAGTTAATTTTAATTTTTTATTTCAAATGTCAAATTTTGTCCATGCCCTGACYTGTCTGGGAGACCTTGTTGGTAGGTGCGATCCATTAGAATTTCTGGGGGAGGGGGGAGAGTGGAAGATTTTTGGGAAAAATTCCTGCACGGCCCGAAGGGCCGAAAAAATATTTTTTTCAAGTCAAAATTTTGAAAAAATATCCACTAAAGCTTTTATTTTTTTAATTTACTAAAAAAAATTACAAGCGCGCGCCTGGAGTTGACTGTCCTTCTGAGGAACAATACTGAATCACGGCTCACGCTATAAAAAATATTCACRCCTCACGGCTAATTTTTTCTCATTTTCACGACTCACGGCTAATTTTTCAGCCGTTTCACGGCTCACGGTTAACCCCATTGAGACCCTCAAATAATCCAGTTTCGAATTCTCCAACGCTCTGTGTTAGCTTCATTTGTGCGCAAAATATTCCTAATTGTGAGAATAACAGTGTGAGATTTCAAATCAATTCTATTGTCTTTCTTTTCGAATTTCATGCGTTTCCTCGGGCTATCAATAAAACAAAAGAATATGTTACTTAGTTTTGAGGCTAACACAGAGCAAACCAGAACTCGAAATTGGAGTATTCGAAGAAAATTTAAAACTCGACACACGTAAACAGCCCGAAATACTGAATATGAAGCTTCTCGAGTAAAATCTAGCTAATCAGTTTGATAAATAAAGTACCTTTCTTTGACTCCAGCTCTTTTATTCTACAAGATAAAGAAGTAATTATAAATCTAATGACACTGAAAACGTTCTTGCAGCGTCAAGTTTTGTAATTTGCTGTAAATTCCTTTGAGGTTTGGAGAACATTTCAAAACGATACAAGAGTATGATCATTAAAACGTGTACTCGAAATTTATAAAATATACAAGTAGTCAGCTTCTGATTTTTATGAAATGTTGATCAGGACAGCAATAATTTTCAAACAAATTAACAACTTAATAACTTAATTCCATACTTTTCGTTCTCGATTGAAAAAATTTGCCAGTGAAGTGTCCGTAATGCAGAAATAATTGAACATGTCGGTGGAAGTTATGGAATCGATTTTTCATCAATTACTAGTGTTCAATTTGTACTTTTTTTCGTTACCTTTTGGTGTGCTCGCTCAAGATTTTTGCTACATCAGCAATAGTTGTCGCTGGATTTCCTTGATTTCTTTTCTCAAGGCCAACATCTTTGCCCTCGCTTCCAGTCCAAATCATGGCGAACGCACTTACCATAAAAATTACTCTAAGTGACATTATGGAAAGGAAATCTATTTTGTAAAAAGAACAATAATCTTAATCGCTGATTTCTCTGTTAGATATGGATTGTTTAATCGCCAATAAAATTTACAAGATAGGAAGAGCTTTTGGGCGACTATCTTCGAGAGAACACAATGTGTGCTTTGAGTGGTGATTCCACTTGTGATGGGACATCCACGCAAACAAAATCAAGAAAATTCTTGAAATTTTTGCGCCCTTCAAAATCTTTTAATTGTCCTTTTAAAAGTGATATTCTAATGTGAAGTAGTAAATATTTGCTTGATTTACAGTTGGGATAAGAGCCGATTATATAATGCAGTTACGTGATGCTTTGATCTGTTCAAGTAATTATATGATTCACCGAGGACATAAACAAAAATTAAGCGGTTCAAGTCTCCAGTGAGTTCAGTCTTATTCACGACTTTCAAAAATGGCGCGATATGTCACGGTCGCCAACCAGGGTACTGGGGACGAAGCACAAAAACGAGGTCTCAAAGTCCAGCCTCCATATAGTAAACTTCGATGGTGTCTTGCAAAAGTGTTTTGTTATGAAAATTATACCAATACATCTTTCAATCTTGTGGACACTACCTACGCATGCGATCTTCATAGTGATTTCTAGATAGAAGACCTTTGAGGTCTCGCTTCCATGATTCGTCACTAGTCTCCCGATATTGGCGGTCGTGAACTACCGCCATTTTTAATGCTATTCAGGCTATGCATGCACTTTTAAAAGGAACATTCTCCCTTACAGTGTATGCTGGTCACTGGGTGCACCGTATTGGATCATTTTAAAAACCGTTGGCTTTGAAATCCTTTAGAGAAGATTTTGGGTCCAAACGAGCTAATTAAAACGCATATGCATGTATTAAAAAGGCGCCAGGCTCCAATGGAAGCATGTTGCCTCTCGATCAGTTCACTCACATCCACGGACGGACAATGGCTGGAGTAATTTTGACCGCGTACGCAACAACATACAGCAATTGCTCTCAAGTAAAAATTCCTTCGCTTAGTCTTTACAAAAAACGGTCATTTTCTTTTCACTTGTCATTTTGATTTTAACCTCCTTTTAGAGTGAAACACATAGTTATGATATCATTTTGAATMAGCTTTATTTTACTATGCACTTTACTACATATTTTGTTTTATTTCAATGAGAGTTATAGAGATCATAAAGAATATTATTGCTCATGTGACCGTAACACTTGATACATTTTGCGCATGCTCCAATTTTACTTGGTACACACTACGCATGTCAGTTCCCGTCCTTCCACGTAAGGAAGACAAGGCAGAGAGCCACATCTTCCTTCAACGGTGTATAACATAGCACCATTGTGGCTGTGAACCGAACCTTTGACGACTTCTGGATCTTTGTCAACGCAAATGAAACCTTTCTGATTTTGGTGAGTATGATGCTCTGCCATAAGATATCCCCAGTACTCTTTGGACCATCCCGMGGGACACTCGTATGTTGCCGGGATCATCAGTTTGGCRTTRCGGTTTGGAACAAAGCAYACAGCACAAGGGACGTCGTGATCGTGAGGATTGGGTGAAAATGGATTGTAGCTTTCTTTAGTTTGGTACTCTGCACCATACATGTAGGCTGACCACCTTTGACGAGCATCGTTGTAGCTCGCGTACTTGGGGGACTCTGTCAGGCATACATACTTGGAGCCYCCGCCTCGATGGTTRTAGTGCTCTCCCCCTACACGACCTACACAACAACGTARAGAATTTAATAAGAAAAATATRAATATGTAACAACGGTTTTTGACTTTAATGATAATAGTTGMCTGAATAGTTAGATAGAACAATCTTGACTCTTAGAAAGTCTAGGAATATTCTTTTTCTTATATAGGACAAAGTTTATTCTGATATGTAAGAGCTTTAATTACCGAAAACGGAGGCTATATGGCATATACATAGCCGTTGCTCGCTACATTCTGTCATTGATGATGAAAAGGTTTTCACAGAAAAACAATGCCAACTAACATTGGTAATCCGATCATTCAATGTCCCCAAATTCCCAGAACAAATATTCCAACAATTGTTCCTCAATTCTCTTCAACGGTAAAAGTAACGAACCCTAAACGAACTACACAGCAACCGAAAAAGGTACTTTTTGGTGTTCAGTTCTTATCACTTAGTACAGTAGCAGAGCTGTTTAATGCGGACAAATCGTGTTTAGAAGGTCGAGGTTTCGACTCCAACGGCATCTAACGACAGGCTATTTTCAGAAATTCGTTAATTGATTTTTCAGGGCGCTCAGAAAAAACTTCAAGGTCTAATTTCCTTATATTAGTATCGCTGGAGGATGTATGCCACATGATGCCACGACTAGCCCTTGAATTCGTAATAGACTTGTGAACATTTTATGTCACTRCTTGTTTTTAAATTCATTGTGGGATAAGTTTTTAGAGAAAAACAAAAGAAACCCCATATCCTACAATGCATTGCGTATACGGTACATGACGTAAAGGCTTCAGATATTATTGCAGGGAAATATGAGATATTACAGCCCCACAAAACACAGTGAAAACGGATTCATGGCAGATACTGACAACTTTGTAAACACTGTAATCTGAAAACTCGAAATATATTTTTAATCGTTTTTCGATCTAACTGTAATGATCAACACTCAAACTGCAGAACAAAAATCTACACATCTACCACATAACTCTCACGACCACGTGACTCATTCTGAAATCTACTTAATGTTACCTTTGTAGACGAGTTTAGCACYAGAAGGACAYGAKKTCCTWCCCCARCGTRTGTACTGAACACCACCACTTTTAGGACCAGGATGGCCCYTTAGTCCCTGATCACCACGTGGACCTTGTGAACCAGGACTTCCTAAAGTACAACAAATTAATAACAAAAAAACATTATCAACGTTATTGGTATATAGCGAGTAGTAAACGACTATTGCCAATTTTTAAAATTTATCAAAAATTGAACAATACAGAAAAAGTTTAACATAAATTGTAATATATTATATCTTTTTGTTTTAACTAAGTGCAAACACTAGCTAAACTGATGAACTATTAATGGTTAATAATTTTTTTTAATGTTTAAATAGTTTTAAATAGTMAATAATTTTTAAAAAAATATCAAAAGAAATTAATGTTAATTGGGYACAAACGTTAAAAATCCGTYCCCTGTTCTAGTTTCTGAAGGCSGTTAYCTCGTGGTCCTTGGGCGCCATGTTGGCCATCACGACCATCTCGTCCTGAAAGCATCGGATAGAGTTACATGACTTTGTTTGTTTAATTTTTAATTTATTTAGTCATTTTGAGTGTTCAATGAACAATAAGTTCAAAAATGAAGGTTTAGTATTTCATGAGTACCTCTTGGACCAGGTGAACCTGGTGAACCGAGGCCATCTTTTCCCGGTGCGCCATCTTTTCCTGGTTTTCCATCTTTTCCTGGCAAGCCGACTCTTCCATCTTTTCCTGGTAAACCATCACGGCCATCTTTTCCTTCAAAATGTCACAAAAATCAGGCTTAATGATAATGAAATGGATCTAACAACATCAATATAAGCCAAATCTATCAATTAAACACCTGATCCATGCGAGCATCCTCAATAATATGGGATCACAATTGTGAGCAGACAAACCTTATACATGCAACGAAGGAAAGAGCAATAACTTATTTTAGATTTAAATTCAATTATCTTGCCAACTACAACTATCATGATAATTAATGCTTACACAAACGATTATAARGGCAGATCCAGGGGATAATTAGGGTGGCTWGCCAATCCCGGCTTTTAAGGGTTAAGAAATRTAGAAAACTACATCTGGACTTTAAGTAATTTCCCGCAGCCCTAAATCTATACATTTAATTGAGTGTGTAACCAATGTGATCCCTATAATAAACCACTGATCATCCCTCACTATATTCTTTACTTATTTCTGCACACTGCCTCATTCAAGCTGTAACTGATATACTCGGGGGGTTTTCATGGTTTACCTGGTTTTCCCGGTGCTCCGTCCTTGCAACAGCCTAAAACACATTATAAGAAATTAAATTCATGTTTACAAGATTTGGCCTTTAAACGGCGCACATAACCAATAAAAGCCATGATTAAAAAGTGGAACTTTATGAAAATGAACCGCAAATTAAACCTGACCTTGTCGCGTTTCGAGAATCTTCATCCTAAATTAAAGCAATATARAAGTCATATAAAATTCTTGTTCTGAATTAAAAATGCTGTCAAATAAAGTGGAAAGTGACTAGGCAACATGAACTAGAGACGAAGGGAAAAGTTGTATCTATTTGCTAGATATATTTTCCTTCTTCTCTCACTTTCAATCTTGTTTATCAAACTCATTAATAATTCATAGTGTCATTAGCCAATGATATACTGAGAATCTAATCACGTGATTATACCTTTATATTGGATAAAAGGTGCAGCAAGCTCAAAGTTGGGGGCGGATTTGAATATTTTCAGGGGAGTGCGGGGCTAATTATTACTCAACGTTTTCCTGATACAGACCTAATTAATAAAACATTAGTTCTGTATCAGTGATACAGAACTAATGTTTTATTAATTAGGTCTGTATCAGGAAAACGTTGAGTAATAATCAGCCCCGCACTCCCCTGAAAATATTCAAAATGTCTAAACTCGCGTGCAATCAAACACAATTAAAACACACTGAAAAATCAATGTCGTAGCTATGTTCGTTTCCTCGTGATTTACTCGATCGTCAGGAGTAAGTAATAAAAGCTTCATGCAAAATCAAACTTTCAATCAATCATTTAGAAATTCCCTTGATAATTCAGTCGTTTCGTGAAACAATGGCACCATATAAACAGTTATATTTGACGAATATTTAATAACGGCAATTTAATGCAGCAAGATATTCGATCAATTTTTCAAAAGCATTATAATGTGAATTATTATAAAGTTTGATAAGCCGTATACAGAACGAGAGAGCGTGTTGTATCGGGGCTAAAGATCCTCGCCTTCGGCTCGGATCTTTATCACCCGATACAACACGCTCTCTCGTTCTGTATACATTACAAATCGCAGGCTGATGACTTTTCCTTGAAAAATGGCGCTCAAAAGATCCATGTAGTCCATGAACAGGGTCCTGYGGAGTGTTTGATTTTGCCGTGTGATGAGAGGATTGAGAGTAGCGGGACTAAATAATGGTTATAATTTTAAACAGTGACGAAGAGCTTCTTCCTGTTGATTGCTGTTTTTTTTTGTTTTTGTTTTTTTTTGTTTTTTTTGTTTTTTTGATTTTTTTTACTTAAGCCAAAAAATAAATAAAATGGTTTTTGATATCAATGAATAGCCTCGAAGGAACTTAAGAAATGGTTTGTATAAATCTTGTGAGTTGCAAGTTCAAATTCAAAGTATAGCATATATATATATTTTTCTTTTAAAGACAAATAAAAAATAAAAACAAAATGTTATTATAGGTATTTACCCATTTGCATCAAATACCCAGTCAATCATCGCATATATATACTTTTAAGAAGCTAAAACAGTTGTAATACTATTTTCCTACCTTTCTTTCAAAGCTTTCACAACATCGCTCAGTACCTGTAAGTCTTGGTTTGTTTTGTTCAAGGTGCCTCGTTTTACCACATCGTTGTGCTCGTCATCTCTACCGTCAACACCCAAAAACATGGCGATTATCACCACGATAAAGATGGCTTTAAACAGCATTTTATCACAGAAAACGATTTATTTCAACTGTTTCAACAATTCTGCTCCACGATCGTCCGGGTTAGGCTATTTGAATGACACGAGGAAAAAACTGTCAGTATTTGCCGACAGGGAGCATACACGAAAAATCGTGAAAACGTTACTGTTGACTCATACATCATCAATAACTAACTAGTGGAGATGGTTAACTAAACATAGTGTATCCATGGTCAATAACTAATCTCTTTATTGCTATATACCCCAAAAATTCTTCATATAAATTTTTTTAAACAATACTGACAAATTCAATTTTTATAGGATACGAAGAATTATTTTATGAAGGGCTTGTAATTGAAACTCTTTTGATAGCAAATAGGTCTTATTTTAAATAAATTATCATATACTGATAATGATATCAATTTACCCACGATAAATAATGTCTAAAAGGATTAAAATGATTCTAAACCTGGTATTTCCAATAGGTAAAAAGGAAAACTTTCGTGTTACCTTTAAGATTGGAGGTAAAGAAATATATTTCAAAGCATAAATTGCTTTCACAGTTAATGATATAATAAACAGAATATTACATTGCCGTGCAGAGGTACGGATTTCATCTTTACGCTCACTCATAAGAGATTTTTTCTAAACTCAAAAACAAAATCCGTATCTCCTTAAGTCCTTGCAATACAAATCCGTCTCTATATGTAAATGCCTATAAATTATAAAAAGATTTGGAAGTGATCGCTTGTTGTGCTAATTCAAAAAGCAGCAGGTACTCTATAATTTGTTTTACAACAAAGGGAATCGATAGTCTTTTCTGTTTTTAAAGCTTAACGCCCCTAAATGAAAAAGTTGAATTTTGTGAACATGAATTTAAAGAATGAATTAATCATACTTCTATATATAGTGTCCTTTAATCAATGCTTGTAAAAGAAATGAAGTCTCCAAAGTGTTTAATATCGAATTTTAACGATTTCCGTTGCATCTCTGTTGCCATAGTAAATGATGGTTTTGCACGACCAACCGATATTAGGGGAATTTGGATAATTTAAAAAGTGCAGGCTTATAATAACTAAAAGACAAAAAGTGTAGATAATTTTGAATATTTCTTATTTTAAAGATTTTCAAAGATTTTTTATTCGACCACTTATGAACGTGTCCTTTAGACCTGTGACGAGTTTTCGGAAATGACGTCAAGAGAGCTCAAACCGGAATTTCGTTGCAATCCAAGTGCGAAATTTACGATTCAATAACAATATACATAATCTTCAAAATAACGTTAAAATAAGAAGTTTAGGGGTGGTAATATAGAAACCACTGATAAAAGGCCTGTGATTCCTGTGGTTGTACTAGAGATATTGTGCATTTTCAGCGTTTTGAGGCGTTATCCAAGACCAACTGCACACACTCAGCGATATTATCGATAAAATCCCAAAGACTTCGCAAAAAAGCCTCAATCTTAATTATTCACGGTCAGTTTTTAACATTTTTTATAGAATATATATGGTGAAATTTCACAAGGAGGCTGTTCGCTTCGTTATTTAAGAAAATTCAAAATGGCGTCCCCCAGCCCCCCAGCCCCCCCTGCTCCGCGGTCCCTGGTTTTGAAGTCACGACACCTTAACTGTTTTATACATGTGTAATGCAGTATACTCAGCTGTCATTAGACCATTTTATATAACCTTTTATAATGGAACACCTATACATCCACTATACAAAGAATTGAAAACACCTAGATATATATGATATCATTTTGAACCAGCTTTATTTTCTATTCACTTAAGAACATAATTTTGTTTTAATGATTATTTAAAGATTATTATTGCTCAAGCGACCATAACACTTGATCTATTTTGCGCATGCTCCAGTTTTACTTGGTACAGACTGCGCATGTCAGTTCCCTTCCTTCCACGTAAGGAAGACAAGGCAGAGAGCCACACCTTCCTTCCACTGTGTACAACAATGCACCATTGTGGTTGTGAACTGATCCTTTGACGACTTCTGGATCTTTGTCAACGCAAATGAAATCTTTCTGATTAGGGTGATTGTAATGCTCCGTCATAATATATCCCCAGTACTCCTTGGACCATCCCGCGGGACACTCGTATGTTGCCGGAATCATCAGTTTGGCGTTGCAGTTTGGAACCAAGCATACAGCACAAGGGACATCGTGATCGTGAGGGTTGGGTGAAAATGGATTGTAGCTTTGTTTAGTTTGATACTCAGCACCATACATGTACGCTGACCATTTTTGATGAGCATCGTTGTAGCTCGCGTACTTGGGGGATTCTGTCAGGCATACATAGTTGGAGCCCCCGCCGGGGATGGCTGTAAGCCTCGCCCCCAACACGACCTACAGCCATGAAGAGAAAAAATATAGATATGTAACAAGGATTAATGACCCTTTACTAATGATAGTTCAATGATTCGATAGAATGCAATCTTGAATCTTAAAAAGGCTCAGCGTACGGACAGAATGCTATACTCTTTCTATCATAGCATCGAACTAATCTTAGTCATAGCTATTAACATGACAGATATCCCTTGGGATAGGCACCAGCGAATCCTTCGAAATTTTCTCTTCTACTAACTCTTTTACAAGCTTTTCTCTATAAGACTATGACAACAATACTAAGACTACAGCACAAAAATTCATGTCTTCCACTAGATCTAACAACACATGATTCATTATGAAATCTACTTCGTGTTACCTTTGTAGACGAGTTTAGCACCAGAAGGACACGAGGTCCTTCCCCAGCGTGTGTACTGAACACCACCACTTTTAGGACCAGGAAGTCCCCTTAGTCCCTGACCACCACGAGGACCTTGCAAACCAGGACTTCCTAAAGTTTGATATCGATTAATGATACAACTGGAATAATATTTTAAATGGCTATCAAAATCTATTGAATGGCACGCGTGTCGTCAATTTTCAGAATCTAGGACAGGACTGGAACTAATCGTATTTGCCTAAGCGTGCATGCTGCATTATAGCGTTGCTCACATGAAGGGTTATCTTCTTTATTTTTATTTTATTCATTTCTTTCTTCATTTTTTTAACTGAAACGCCGTTGCTCATTTGAAATCCCATCCTTCTGATTTTGATGGTATAGCCTTTTTCAATTTATAAAGTTTTAAAAACCCGTATATTAAACTATTAAAATTTGCAAAATGGCAACTAGAACTAACTAGGGAGAAATATAAATATGTACAACCCAGAAATTATCCTCTAAGGTTTTTTTTAAAAGGCCGGCCGTTACCTCGTGGTCCTGGGGCGCCATGGTGGCCATCACGACCATCTCGTCCTGAAAGCACCGGATAGAGCGACATGACTTTGTTGAATTGTAATATTGATTTCATCTCGTTTTATTTCTTTTTATCCGCTTGAATGCATGAGTTCAATAAATCAATTAAGTTCAAAAAGAAAGGTTTAGTATTTGATGTTACCTGGTAAACCGACGCCATCTTTTCCTGGTATACCATCACGACCATCTTTTCCTTTAGAATGCCACACAAATCAGACTCAATCAGTATAATGAAATGAGCTTATCTACAACATAGCCAATCTATCAAATGTTTATTCGACTATCAACAATATTGCCTTTGCTCGCACCTATATCTTATCAAGATAAGATTGAAGTTGGACATGGAGGAGATTTGGTTACAAAATCAAGGGACTTGGCTAGGGTAGCAAACACCTCCTTTTAAGGATTTTAAAAATAAAGAAATAGAAATTGAGATAAAGAAAATTAAGAAATAAAATCCGAAATTCAATCTTCCCCAACTCCACCACTGTATCCATATTTTTCCTATTTTTCCTTTCTCGTCTTTTCGTCTATTTCGTATCATTCCGGATTCCAACACAATTCGCTATAGTACTCTCAGTGCTTCTAAATCAAAACTAAAAATAACTTTAATTGGCAACTAATGGAGTGTGTAACCGATGTGATCCCTATTAAACCACTTCACTAGCTATTCTTTGTTTGTTTTTACTCTTTAACCTCACTAATTCACATTCTCACTCTGCGTTTTTGTTTCCATGGTTTACCTGGTTTACCCGGTGCTCCGTCCTTACAACATCCTAAAACAGATCATTAGAAATTAAATTCATGCTCAAAGTGGTTGGGCTTCGAACGTCGCCCATATCAACGCAACAAAAACCAGTTAAAAGTGAAACTTTATGAAAATGAATCGCAAACCTGACCTTGTCGCGTCTCCAGAATCTTCATCCTAAATGAAACCAATATAGAAGTCATTTGAAGTTCTATTAAAAATACTGCCATCGAGGCCACACGAATGGAAAGTGAAATGAACAAGAGACGATGGGAGAAGTTATGTCTATTTGTCAACTATCACTTTGAATCTTATAAATTGCATTTAATGAATTTTTTCCTTCAAAAAAGACGCACAAAAGATGCATGTAGTCCATGAGCAGGGTCCTGTGGAGTGTTTGATTTCGGTCAGTAAACTTAGATTAGACTTAGAGGACTGAGAATAGTAGCACTAAATAAACAGTGACGAAGAGCGTCTTCCTGTTGGTTGCTGATGCGCTTTTCACTTTAGCAAAGTGAAATTAGAATTCTTTGTTTTTGATTCTTGTGATTTGCTAACAAAGCCGAGTTCTAAATATAAGTATAATATATATCTTTCTTAAAGGAAAATCAAACACAAGCTGTCAAAATTAGACATTTTTCCATTTGCATCAAATATCCAATCAATCATCGCATATACTTTTTAAGTAGTAAGAATAGTTGTTATACTATTTTCCTACCTTTCTTTCAAAGCTTTCACAACATCGCTCAGTGCCTGTAAGTCTTGGTTTGTCTTGTTCAAGGTGCCTCGTTTTACCACACCGCTGTGCTCGTCATCTCTGCCGTCAACACCCCAAAACATGGCGATTATCACCACGATAAAGACGGCTTTAAACAGCATTTCACAGAAAACGATTTCATACAACTAGGTATCAACAATTCTGTTCAACGATCGTCGTCTAGGTTGTTTGAATGAGATGAGGAGAAAGTCAGAGTAAGGATATCGGACAGTATTGTCAATATATTACCACAGTGTACAAGAAAATTCGTGAAAAAGAAACGTCCAGTACTTGTGACTCATTCATCAATTACCAAGAATTGGAGATCTAAGTTTATAATATTCATAAATAATTCATAAGTTACACCGCCATTGTAGTCACATGACTACCCTTGTAATCACCAATATAAACTTAAAGCGCAGGAAGGGCTTGAATTCAGAGCATGGGAAAGGGAGGGGTTGATGAATAACAATAGCTAGAGAATGAGATCTATTAGCATGTTAGAAAAAAAACAGAATACTAATAGATCTATTAGCATGCTATAGTTAAGGAATAAAAGACGAAATTCCGTGTTTGATACTCTGATCAAAACACGCGGGGTGTAGGGAGAGCACGAGAGAAGTGTAGGAAACCACGACGCGTAGCGGAGTGGTTTCCAGCTTTTCGAGTGCTCTCYCTACATCCCAAGTGTTTTGATCAGAGTATCAAACACAGAATTCCGTCTTTTATTTCTTTTCTAAAATTAAAAGAAAAAAAGAAAATTTTGACGCGCGCGAGCGTGTTTTGATACAACTGTAATCAAACATGATTTTCGACCAATCACAGCGCGCGTGGTATCCTAAATATTTTAGAAAAAAAATATAAAATGCTAATAGATTTCGATCTAGCAAAATGATAGTCAAAATTGCAAGTATTTAGGTTGTAGATGCCTGTTAAGGCCGGAAACAATCACAAATAGAGATTTTGATGGATATACCGTCCGCCACTCTTGAACCTGGTGTTTTCACTACAAAAAAAGAACACATTCGTATTTATCTTAATGTATTGGAAGTAAAGAGAGGTTATGTTAAAGCAAAAATTGCTTTCAAGTGTAATGATAAAATAAACAGAATTTTACAGTGACTCGAAGATAAAATCCGTATCTCCGTAAGTCCTTGTAATACTGATCCGTCTCTATATGTCAATGGCTATAAATATAAAAGATTAGGAAGTAATTGCTTGTTGTGGTGATTCAAAAAGCAGCAGGTACTCTATTGTTCCTACAATTGATACTCTGGTAGGATACTTGTAAAAGAAATGAAGTCTCCAAAGTTTTAACATCTAAATTTAACGATTTCCATTGCATCTCTCTTTGCAATAGTAAATCATTTTTTGCGCGACCGATTCGGGAACTTAGATATTTTAAAAAGTGCTTATAACAAAAAGTGTAGAATTTGTAATATTTCTAAAATCCATTCCCACAGACAGAATTCGATCGATGTATTTAAAACCTCATTATTTTACAGATTTTCAAAGATTTTTTTATTTGGACATTTTGGACGCTTCCTTTAGGCCTGTGACGAGTTTTCGGAAGTGACGACAAGAAAGGTACAACCGGAAGTAAACATTCCGTTGCAATCCAAGTGAGAAATTTGCGATTCAAAAACATTTACCACACTTGTGTAAATTCTCGCGCGTTGGTTCGCTGATTAGAGTGTGTCAATGAGAGGACATGCACACTGTACTTACAACATCACGTCGCACGCGTGCCCTCAATTGAAAGAAAAGAATGATTTTCGCTAATTTTTAGACTAAAAATGTGGTAAAAGAAAAACAAATTGAACACCTTCTTCTTACTGGCACACTCTTGACGTCATAAAATGTTCAAAACTCAAGTAAAAACATAATCTTCAAAATAACGGTAAAATATAGAGTAGAGAGGTGGTAACATAAAACCACTCAAAGGGCCTATCACGGCTTCCTGTGCTTATACTAAAGAGATTGGGCATTTTGATGTCACGAGACTGTAACTATTTTATACATGTGTAATGCAGTATACTCAGCTGTCATTAGACCATTTTATAAAACCTTTTGTAATGGAACACCTATACAACCACTATACAAAAGAATAATAAAAAACACCTGCTGTAGATATGATATCATTTTGAATCAGATTTATTTTCTATTCACTTTACTACATATTTTTATTCTAATGATTATTTAAAGATTATTATTGGTAAAGCGACAGTAGCACTTGATCCTTTTTGTGCATTCTCCAGTTTTACTTGGTACAGACTACGCATGTCAGTTCCCGTCCTTCAACGTAAGGAAGACAAGGCAGAGAGCCACACCTTCCTTCCACGGTGTACAGCAATGCACCATTCTTGTCCGAATGCGATCCTTTGATGACTTCTGGATCTTTGTCAACGCAAATGAAATTTCTCTGGTTGGGGTGATTGTAATGCTCCGTCATAAGATATCCCCAGTACTCCTTGGACCATCCCGAGGGACAATGGTATGTTGCCGGGATCATCAGTTTGGTGTTGCGCTTTGGAACAAAGCATACAGCACAAGGGACGTCGTGATCGTGAGGATTGTGTGGAAATGGATTGTAGCTTTGTTTAGTTTGGTACTCAGCACCGTACATGAAACCCGATGATTGATGCGCATCGTTGTAGCTCGCATACTTGGGTGATTCTGTCAGGCAGACATAGTTGGAACCTCCTCCAGGGTGCAGGTGGTCCTCACCACCAACACGACCTACATAACAAAATTGATTACTTTCCTTGTTTAGGACTGTAACCTAGGGACTTTTATGGAGGGGAGGGGGGAGGGGGGTGTAAATGGGAGGGGGGGTAAATGGACAAAATGGAATGCTTGCGTTCCCTATCTCGGACGATATCACAACCAATAAGAAGTTAGGGACGGGATAATGGTATTTTGGATGGTGGTTGGGCAACTTAATTTAATTTTGAATTGACGACACCAGCGCTTTTAAAATGCAAAGGTTACAAAAATGCTTAATGCAAATGCAAATGCTTAACATTTTTTTGTCCAAGGATGTAATGAAAAAATTGAGATGTTGTTCTGTTGTTCTTATTTCCTCCCCCTTTTCTCTCTCTAGCATTCATCCAAACTTTTATTTATCTGGTCAGTCAGTCAATTAGACGCCAGTCAGTCATTCGGACAGTCAGTTATCTGTTTATTATACCTTTGTAGACGAGTTTAGCACCAGAAGGACACGAGGTCCTTCCCCAGCGTATGTACTGAACACCACCACTTTTAGGACCAGGATGGCCCCTTAGTCCCTGAGTACCACGTGGACCTTGCAAACCAGGACTTCCTAAACATAATAATAGTATAGGTTGACAATACACCAGGAAAATATTATCAATGGCTATTGATTAATGAAATGCTAAAACTATACCTCGTGGTCCAGGGCTGCCATGTTGTCCATCACGACCATCTCGTCCTGAAATTGTTGGATGTAGGTGATGTTTAATACTTGCAGCCAATCTTTAACCTTTTTCTAGTCAGTGAATTAGTTAAGTTCAAAGACAAATGGAAGTAATTAACATTACCTCTTGGTCCCGGTGCGCCATCTTTCCCCGGTGCGCCACCTTTTCCTGGTAAACCGACGCCATCTTTACCTGGTGCGCCATCTTTGCCTGGTGTGCCATCTTTTCCTTAAGGTGGAAGCACAGACATAAAACAAAACAGTTTAGTAATGAAAAAAACGCAGAAACATTTGTATAGAAGTCAATCAATCAACTGATCTCTAATTTCCTATTCGAAAATCCTATATATTTTATTTTAAGGAAATGGACATCATTTAGCATCCAGTCAACTAATTATATAATTATACGTCACTTGCCTGGTTTTCCAGGTGCTCCTGCAGCTCCTGGCGTCCCATCTTTACACCAGCCTTAATCAAAACAGATTGCAAAAATTATATTTTAATATATTTTTGTGAATAGCTTTATCAGTTGTGTTCTATACAGATAATTACTAGGAATTGAGTGAATTGCCAGAGTGATTTTTCGAATTTAACCGACTTCGAAAACGGTTCATTTTACTTACATCCAATTCGAGGAAAATTTTAAATTCGACACAATTAAACAGCCAAATACTCAAACATGAAGATTCTTGATTAAAATCTAGTTAATTAGTATGATACATGAAATACCTTTCTTTGACTCCAGCTCTTTTATTCTACAAGATAAAGAAGTAATTATAATTGTAGGCACTGAATACATTCTTGCAGCATTTTTGTATTTTTGCTGTAAATTCCTTGGATCCGATTTCTTTTGAGGTTGGCGAACATTGCAAAACGATAAGAAAACTCATTAAAACATGTACTCGAAATTTATAAAATATACAAGTATTGAGCTTCTGATTTTTATGCAATTTTGATTAAGACAGCCAATAATTTTCAAACAACTTGGCTCGAATTAATTCCATATTTTTCGTTCTCGATTGAACTGAAAAGTTTGCGAGTTTTGTGTTCGTAATGAAGAAGAGATATTATTGAACATGGCAGTATATAATGAATTTTCTCCTTGAAAAAAGGCGGTCAAAAGATGCATGTAGCCCTGTGGAGCGTTTGCATTTCGCTGTGCGAACTAAATAATAGTTATAATTTTAAACACTGGAGAAGAGCGTCTTCCTGTTGACTGCTGATGTTTTTCACTTTTATGCAAAGGAAAACTTAAAATGGTTTTTGATATCATTGAATAGCCTTGAAGAAAATTAAGTTTAAATCTTACGAGTTGCCGTAACAAACAAGTTCTGATTATAAGTAGTATCATTTTTCTTTTCAAGGCAAATTTTTCAAATTTCATCAAACAGTTAATCATCGTATATACTTTTAAGGTATAACAGCTCTTTTAATACTTTCCCACCTTTCATTCAAAGCTTTCACAACATCGCTCAGTGCCTTTAAGTCTTTGTTTGTCTTGTTCAAGGTGCCTCGTTTCACTACACCGTTGTGCTCGTCATCTGCACCGTCAACACCCCAATACATGGCGATTATCACCACGATAAAGACGCCTTTAAACAGCATTTTATCAACAGAAAACGATTTCAGTTCAGTCAACGATCGTCGGCTAGGGTATTTGAATCAGAGATGAGGAAAAAGTCAGAATGAGTATATCAGAGTCAGTATTGTCAATACATGCCCACAGGGAGCATACTGACAAGAAAATTCGGGAAAAAGAAACGCTTCAGTACTTGTTAGTCATCCATTAATAAAATACTATAAACATATATCCATGGTCATGATAACTATAATCCCTGTTTATTACTATAAAGCCATATAAAAGTATTTAAACAAAACTAACAGCTTCAGTTTTCTTGGGATAGGAGGAATTATATTGTGAAGGTCGCTTGTAATTATTATTATTATTTTTATTGCAAATAGGTCTTATTTCAAATAAATTATCGTATAATTAATCATGAAATACCAATATTTCTCTCTTTTAGTGTGAAATCTGGTATTTCCACTAGGGAAAAAGAAAACATTCGTGTTACCTCTAAGATTGGAGGTAAAGAAAAGTTATTTTAAAGCATAAATTGCTTTAATCGATAATGATATAATAAACAGAATGTTACTTTGGCGCGAAGAGGTACGGATTTTCTTCACGTTCTCACTCATGAGAGAAAATCTTTACGCTCACTCATAAGAGATCTTTTCAAAACTCAAAAATAAAATCCATATCTCCGTAAAGTCCTTGCAGAACAATATGTCAATAGCTATAAATATAAAAAGATTAGGAAATGAACGCCTTTTGTGGTAATTCTAAAAAGCAGCAGGAATTCTATTTTTTTACAGCAAAGGGAATCGATAATCTTTGTTTCAAGCTCCACGCTGAAAAAGTTGAATTTTGTAATCATCCATTGAAAAATTGAATTAATTTTTCATCTATAATGTCCTATAATCGATACTTGTAAAAGAAATGAAGTCTCGAAAGTTTTTTATATCTAAATTTAACGATTTCCATTGCATCTCTGTTGCCATAGGAACTGATTTTGCACGACCGATTCGGGAATTAGCATATTTTAAAAATTCTTGTAACGACTAATACGTCAAAAAGTGTGGATAATTTTGAATATTTCTGAAATACATTCCCGCTAACAGAATTTGATTTGTTTAAAAACTGATATTTACGATTTTCAAAGATTTTTTATTTAGCATTATGGACGAGTCCTTTAGGCCTGTAACAAGTTTCGGAAATGACGGCAAGAGAGGTAAAACCGGAAGTAAAAACATCGTGCTTAACAAGTTCAAACCGCATCCATTTACATGTACAGCGTAAGACGAGGGAGCTAAGCTGAGTAGGACTGAAGCACGGAGAACAGCCGAGTTTGGTGTCAAACTCGATGCGAAACTGTGCCACTCCAGAAGCCAAGACCCACAATACACAAAATTAAACTTCTCAAAAGTCTCTACTAAGGTCGGTCCTCTATCAATACTATCTTGAGTTTTGATGAAATTCTAGGAAAAAACAGATGACCGCGCGACTACCCTGGGGTCCAGAGACTGGATTTACTCTTTCTTATAATTTATTTATGGCGTCTTTGAGGTAAGGCCGAGCCGTAGCCTCTGGTGACACTAATACTGAATCTAACTTCCATGCCATTGTTTACATTCAGGATCCGAATGTTGAGCAGCTGATTGGTCCGTTGATATCGGAGCGATAGCAATGCACCACAGAAGGTCTGCGTACATTTTAATTTACTTTTAAGAATAGTAAGAATAGTTGTTATACTATTTCCCTACCTTTCTTTCAAAGCTTTCACAACATCGCTCAGTGCCTTTTAGTCTTTGTTTGTTTTGTTCAAGGTGTCTCGCTTTACCACACCGTTGTGCTCGTCATCTCTACCGTCAACACCCAAAAACATGGCGATTGTCACCACGATAAAGATGGCTTTCAACAGCATTTTACCACAAGAAAAGGTTTTCTTGCAACTCTATCAACAATTCTGTTCAACGATCGTCGTCTAGGTTATTTGAATGAGATGAGGAAAAAGTCAGAGTGAGGATATCGGACAGTATTGTCAATATATGACCACACGGAGTGTACAAGAAAATTCGTGAAAAAGAAACGGTCAGTACTTCTTTCATAGTTAACTATGCTTCTTTTGACTCATTCATCAATTCCTAATTGGAGATTAACTAAATATATAGTATATTCATGTTCAATAACTATAATCTCTC